TATTTTTTGAGACGAGAGTCTTTCTCTGTTGCCCAGGCTGGAGTGCAGTGGTGTGATCTCAGCTCACTGCAACCTCTGCCTCCCAGGTTCAAGCAATTCTCATTCCTTAGCCTCCCTAGTTAGCTGGGATTACAGGCACCTGCCACCACGCCCAGCTAATTTTTTGTATTCTAGTAGAGACAGGGTTTCACCATGTTGGTCAGGGCTGGTCTCGAACTCTAACCCTCAAGTGATCCACCTGCCTCAGCTCCCAAGTGCTGGGATCATATAGGCATGAGCCACTGTGCCCAGCCTGATTCACACATTTTTTATGAATTGGAAAAATATCAGAATTACATTCTCCCTTGCTCACCACCTCTCCATTCCTTTCTCTTTTTTTTCTTGCACATCAATATTTCCTTTGAACACAGGAAAGATCCAGAAATTATCTGACAGATGAGAAGAGCTTGTCCCTGACAATTTCCAGATTTAGTTTGTGTGGATGAATTTCATGAATTCTGGTGAGAATACTAACTTTTATTAGAATTCTGGAATTTTAGCAAACCGGTTAGGGAAGATAGTAAGAATTTGGATGTACATCTCAAATATTAAGTTAACTTCAGTGTTATTATTCTTCCCTTTCTAAGGCATACTAAAACCGGGGATAAACAAGACCCCAAATTCAAATGCCAGTGGGTTTTTTGTCTCAGAGCCCCAAACCAGTAAAGGCATAGGCATTCAAACCCTGCCATTTCCTCCTTTCTTGCTAGGTCCCCTGGCAACCCCACACTGTCCTGTTTTTCTTATCATCCCCACGGGTTCTGGGCAACTGATGCTTTTGCTGTGTTCCTTCCTTTGTCTGCTGACAAGGGTGCAGGCATCTAGGAATAGTCTTCCCGTTTCCTCTGAGATACCTCTGGGGGACTGTTAGAGGCTATATGATTCCATTTCCCTGTGCCACACCTAAAAGCTCATTTCTCCTTTTTCATAAGACTCTCAATAATTTTAGCTTTGTCTTCCTTAAGAGTAATTTTTCAGCTGGGTGTGGTGGCTCACACCTGTAATTCCACCACTGTGGGAGGCCAAGTTGGGAGAAACACTTGAGCCCAGGAGTTTGAGACAAACCCGGGCAACATAGTGAGGCCTCATCTCTATAAAACAGAAAAAAATTAGCCGGGCATGGTGGTGCATGCCTGTGGTCACAGCTACTTGGGAGGCTGAGGTGGGAGGATTGCTTGAGCCCAGAAGTTCAAGGTTACAGTGAGCTATGATTGCACCACTGCACTCCAGCCTGGGTGACAAAGAGAGACCCTGTCTCTTAAAAAAAAATAAAAAATAAAAGTAAATTTTCTGCCACCTAAGAGCATCTCCCATCATTGTTTGGGGAGTCTGCAACATAGCCTTTTCAGGGAGCGATAATCCTGGTATTTAAAGGCCTATCTCTCCATTCAATGTTTTCTTTAAAGTTTCTCTCAAGTGGCTGAGTCTTCAAAACTTAAACATAAAAAAAAGATTTCAAATATCTGGATTGGGACTCCCCTTTTGCTATGGTTGAAGCTGTCTGGTTGATAATTAGTGATTGAAAAGAGACATGTGCATGTATATTACAAATAATCCTCAGATTTCTATATCAGTCACCTATTGCTCTATGATCAATAAAAATGCAAGTTTTGTCTCTGTATTTCAGAACTGTGTCCTGGAGGAGAGAAACTTTAGAAGAAAGCTAGTTTAATTAAATGATCTGTACTTATTTGCAGTGGTATAAAATGTACATATGTAACAGGCATGTAAAAATTAATTTTTCCCTCATTTCCTGTTTCTCAATGCTATTGAGTCATTAATTTCTTCATTCAGTAAATAGGTGTTTACACGTATGTACTATGCACCCTGGTCTGTGCTCAGGATATCACAGCAAACAAAGAGAATATGAACTTGACCTCACCACCTTGTAGTCTAGGAGCTGTAGATAACATTAACAGTTAACTTCATCATCACTGCCCATCTCAATTTAGGAATCTTGCTAAGACCTAGCACATCTGGTTACTTTCAGGATGAAAAAATAAATAATTTAAAAAAACAGAGGCTGAGTGCAGTGGCTCATGCCTGTAATCCCAGCACTTTAAGAGGCCGAGGCAGGCAGATCACCTGAGGTCAGGAGTTCGAGATCAGCCTGACCAACATGGTGAAACCCCATCTCTACTAAAAATGCAAATATTAGCTGGGTGTGGTGGCATGCACCTGTAATCCCAGCTATTCAGGAGGCTGAGGCAGGAGGATTGCTTGAACCCAGGAGGTGGAGGTTGCAGTGAGCTGATATCACGCCACTACCCTCCAGCCTGGTGACAGAGCAAGACTCTGTCTCAAAAAAACAAAAAACAAAAAAACAGAAGGCAAACAATTCAGAGTGTTGCTGGTATATGTTGTGTGACTTTTTGAAAAATGTTAATTTTTGATATGTTTCAGTGATCAGCAGTATGCTGTGAGAGTTGTAAAGCTCTATATCTGCTTATTGGGCTGGGCGTGGTGGCTCACACCTGTAATCCCAGCACTTTGGGAGGCTGAGGAGGGTGGATCATGAGGTCAGGAGACTGAGACCATCCTGGCTAACATGGTGAAATCCCATCTCTACTAAAAATACAAAAAAATTAGCTGGGCGTGGTGGCGGCGCCTGTAGTCCCAGCCACTCGGGAGGCTGAGGCAGGAGAATGGTGTGAACTCAGTAGGTGGAGCTTGCAGTGAGCCAAGATCGTGCCACTGCACTCCAGCCTGGGCAACAGAGCGAGACTCCATCTCCAAAAAAAAAAAAAATTCTGTATCTGCTTATTAAGGCAAAATGGTTAATTTCGTATAGTATACTTGTTTTGTATACAATACGAAGGAAATAGCAATACTTTTGGTCTTTTTGAAGTCAACATAAAGCATAGAATATTAATGCTGTAAGGACCTGGAAAACATCTTGTTGAATTCTGTCATTTCGTAGAGGGGAAATGAAGGAGCGAGAGACAGTGCTGGGTGTCCCCCAGCCTCTGCTTCAGACAGAGGGGTATAATTGAGACCATCTGAGGCTGGCTGACCTTACCACTAGCTTAAACTATAAAAAGAGAATTGCAGAGGAAAACACAAACTTAGAAGAGGCCAGGTTTTCTCTGGAGACTTGGTCTAAGGCAAAGTCTTGTTCTTGAGGAAAGCCTATTATGGAGATTTGCTTTTGGAGGTGGCTGGCTTGCCACTTTCAGCAAGAGCAAAGTGACAATTCGGAGACATTAAAGAATAAGGTAACCAAGGGCAGTTCTCAAAAGTTTACTCTAAAGGAAGTGAATTGAATTTCCTTGGAAATTTTAGCTATTCAAGAATAAAATCCAAAATGTTTTAGAGAGAATTGGGTAAAATACTCTTTTTAAAAGCCAGTTACCCATTTTATTAATTCCAAGTCAAAATTGATTTTAAATGCCCCACCATTTTATGTACCATGAAGGAGGAAAAATCACTGCCCACTAAGCTGTGATCTAAAGTTTTCTTATCACTTTGATTTTATTTTATGCTTATTGAAAGCACTGTTTGAACTTATACACAAGTTTTTATCATTGGTCACTCTTACGCCTACAAGGATAAGGAAAGTAAACGGGACCAAGCTGGTTGGAAAGGTTTGCCTCTGTGACAGCCTCATGCTGCCTGAGGACTGGGAGAATTTCAAGGGTGGTTGGGTAAGGTATTCCTAAGCTTCTTTACATCAAGAGTTCAGTTCTTCTGCCTCACTCGTCATTGAGCATCATGGATGTCCATGATTTTGTAGATACCTATTCCATTGAAGACACTGGTGACTCATCATTTCTTAAAAGAACCTGTAAAGTAGCAAAAGGCCATTGGTGTAGAGCTTTTTATTTGGCTTTGGAATTCAGTGGAGAGCTAGTGTGCTGTGGTTCAGGACTGAGGCTATTCACTTCTTGGCACTCCCTCCCAACCTGTGTTCCATGGCCAACTGATTCTGAGTTCTTACAAGAACTCAAGAGTGTGCCTCTCTGTTTTCAGGATTTTTTCCCACACTGCTGATGTTCAGTCATGCTCGGACGGTGAGAACTCTTACAATTGCCATAGGCAGACAGAAGCTTGTCAGATGGCACTGACTCTGAGACACGTCCTGGTTTCGTGCTTCAGAGATGTAAGAATGTAAAAAGAAATGTGTGATGAAAGATGGCACGGAAAGACTTTATTTCCTTTATTGCTCTTCTGCCTTTGGTATTTGACCTGTTCTGTTGCAGACAAGGTCAATTAGCTGCTTTGTATTGTCATTGTAAGGAATCAAGATTGGAGTTCTGTGGAGTGCCTGCCTGGCGTTTCTCTAGGTCACAGTCAGAACGCTGGTGATCTCCAAGCTGTCGACAGGTGTCCTGTGCAGACAGAGCTGTGGTTGCAGAAGTTTGAAAGAGACTTTAGACTGCATTTCTCTTATTTTAATTTTTTCTTTTCTTTTTTAGAGCAGCCCTGAATGGACATCACATTTCTCTCTTGGAGGAGAGACATAATATCAATGTGGGTATTAGCCTCTGAAAAAGTCCTGCACTAAAGAATCCTGTTTGAACGCTTACTTCTGTGTTCCTAAGCTTATTTGACTATCAAAGTCTTTTCCCTCCCGGTTTTTTATGAGGGCAGAGTTAGAGTGTCCTCTAGGCTATTTCGGTGCTCAGTCCTAACAACCAAGCCTGCACCACCACTGCTGACCTTCGATAGGGTGCTCACAGTGGAGACTGAGTTATCCTCAGAGGAAGAGCATATCCACAGAAGAGCTAACAGCATTTTCCCAGTCCTCAGGTGGCCTGAGGCTGTCACCAAGGCAGACCTATTCCAAGGCTCTTTTCCAGTGACAATTTATCTTTACGATCCTACCAGGGGTGTTCATGTCTGCATTTCAGACTCAGTGGCTGGCTGGTTCCACTTCCTTAAATGGTAGTGCTCTTTTTGCCCTCACCTGTTGATCTATATACTTTCACCCCTCCCTGGATCATCTTCTCTCTTCCCAGGACTTTATCCTTCCAGTCATGCTGGAGACTTCCAAAGCTGCTTCTCCACCTGGGATGTGATGTGAAGCTGTGGACACGTGTGTCGATTCGACAACTAATCTTCACCACGTTAATGTGTCACGTTGGGCTTCAACCTCAATATGTCCTGAAATGACCTCAGAATGCCCACATCCCTCCAAACACCGCATTCTTGGTAAGTGAGCATCCAGGAGATAAAGTCCCAAATCAAGACATACATGGCTTTTCTCCCTAAAGTTAATCCCCAACTTCCGTAAATTCAAATTCACTCCTCCCCACCATTGGCTGTGCTACAGCCAAATTTGGACCCTCATTTTCTCCAACCAGAATATTGGTATCCTTTGAAATTTTTTTTCGCTAAATCCATCTTCTGTGACACTTGGATTGATTCCTCAGCATCACATCAAGCCACTGCTTCTGTTAAATAAATCTTCTAGTACCTATGGAATAGGAATGTTCAGTGCAACTTAGCTGGAAACTGTCAGAAGAGTGGGTTAGAAAGCGTATGCATACATGCATTACGGTAGAATACAATGTAGCTATTTAAAAAGTTGCACTTAATTTTAAAAAATATTTAACTGTTCATGCCATATTTTTAAGTGAAAAAAATCAGATTGCAAAGTACCGCCTATTTATAGAATCCTCACTAAGGATATATATATGCCTTTTTTTTTTAGATGTAGTCTCGCTCTGTAGCCCAGGCTGGAGTGCAGTGGTACGATCTTGGCTCGCTGCAAGCTCCACCTCCCAGGTTCAGGCCATTCTCCTGCCTCAGCCTCCTGAGTAGCTGGGACTACAGGCGCCTGCCACCACGCCCGGCTAATTTTTTGTATTTTTAGTAGAGACAGGATTTCGCCATGTTCGCCAGGATGGTCTCGATCTCCTGACCTCGTGATCCGCCCGCCTCAGCCTCCCAAAGTGCTGGGATTACAAGGGTGGGCCACCGCACCCAGCCCCATATATGCATTTTATGCATGTATTTATGTAAAACATTCTGGAAGGATATAAAAATGCTAAAAGTTGTTTATCTTGTGGCAATGGGGCTACAAATGATTATAATGTACTTATTTATTTGTGCTTAGGTGTTCTGAATTTTTTAATAGTGAAGATGTATGCCTTTAAAATTGAAAAAATTAAAAATTGTTATTTATTTATTTATTTATTTATTTATTTGATGGAGTCTTGCTCTGTCACCCAGGATGGAGTGCAGGGGTGCAATCTTGGCTCACTGCAACCTCTGCCTCTCACGTTCAAGCGATTCTTCTGCCTCAGTCTCTCAAGTAGCTGGGATTACAGGCGCATGCCACCATGCCAGGGTAATTTTTGTGTTTTTAGTAGAGACGGGGTTTCACCATGTTGGCCAGGCTAGTCTCAAACTCCTGGCCTTAGGTGATCCACCCACCTTGGTCGCCTAAAGTGCTGGGATTACAGGCATGAGCCATGTGCCCAGCCTTAACAATTGTTATCTACAAGATTGAGTTCCAAGGTCATCTCTGCTGTGTAAAGTGTCCCTCATGTTAGTCTTCAGAGCACTGGCTACCCATGTGCTTCATTGTTTAGAGAGCTCTGGGAGAGCCGACTGCATGGTGCTGAAATGACCTGGAATACATCTGTTCAGTCCAGTCCAGGGAATATACTTGTTATATATTGGCCCTTATATTTATATTTGGCCCAGTCTGCCCTCCAGCGAGGATTTGATAAGCGTTTAAGAAATGATGAAGTATTCTAGAAGACTGCTACTATGGCTGTTTTCTTGCTGGTGTGTGTGTGTATATGCATATTTTATACACGTGTACACACACATGCTTATTATGTGTTCTATGTATTCTGCCTGTTCCAGGGATATTAGAGGAAACTGTGTCACCTGTGAGGTAGGTATGGTTATTACTGCTGTTTCAGAGAGGTAAATGGAGGCTGAGAGGTGAGTGAGTGAATTTGCCAGTAGATTTGCCTAAGCTTTGTGTGCCTCACCTGAAACCTTGCTCTCAAATGTTATTATACTGTCTCCTAAGGATCCACTGTTACCACAGAACACTTTTAGAAACCAATTTCCTCCCCACAACAAGGATAGTCACCAGGTTCCTGGTAGAGGGAAGGCTGGTTCTGAGTGGAGGCCGGTGACGAGTCAGCACTGTGTACCTGCTGCAGTTTTTCACAGAGCTGGCTCCATGGGTAGAAACCAATGTCAGCTACTAGAGTCAACACGCCAACCCCAAGTGGTGCCTTGAAGTTGGCTCTCAAACTGTGGTCCTGGTGTTTCTGAGTTCTTGTGACCTGAATAGGAAAAAGCGACATAAATAAAAAGCAAAACAAGCCTAGAATCTTCTGTTCTGATCCAGTAGACAATGATCTTATTTCTTCTTACTTTGACTGAACCTGCAAGTGGTTCTGTTGGTGAAAAAGAGAAAATGGTTGGAACACACAGTCTTTTCTAGCTTTTCATGCATTCAGGTCACCAAAACTTGAGGATCCTTAGCAGCCCATGAATGATGGTGCAACTGTGTGCGTGGTGTGGTCTTTCCTCCTTTGTATTTTTCTACATCTTCTAAGCCTCTTGTTATGTGTAGGTGTTCATTTTTAATGAGTAGACAGTATGTGTGTGTGGCAGGGAGGGAATGGATTGTGAGGAATAAAGAGGCGCTGCCTATACGGGAGGGAGGTGGAAAGATAATGAAAGTCAACTTCACATGGGGAAAAGGTGAGTGATGACGCTGACTTCCATTATCTTTCCAAATTGCATGCTGGTGGGAAAAGTAATGACTTGGGCGCTACTCCCATTCCTAGTTTGCCATGGGCAGCATCTATGATGTCCCTTAGCCTGTTTACTTCTGGGGTGATCTACCATCCAGATTGGCTTTGGTCTGAGCGCTTTCTTGAGATGCAAGACATTTAGTGCTAAAACTGGGGCAATTTTCAGTTGATCATCTACCACTTCCCTTCCTTATGACTCTCTCAGGCAGTTCCTCCTTACCCCTTTCATTCAATACACCCCATCCCTGCCACACACACATGCTCTCTTCTCATTGAAAATTAATACATACACATAACAAGAAGTTTGGAAAATATAGAAAAGTATAAAGAAGGGAAAACCACACATGCCCATAGCTCCACCATCATCCAGGGACGTCTGCTATCAACATTGTGATATATTTACTTTCAGGGTTTTTTCTATATAGGCAACCTTTCTGTGACTTATTTTCACATTTCATAGCTGCCCTCAATACTCATTTCAACTAAATTATCTTCATAAAATTATTTGCAGCAGTGAGGAAAGCCTTGGATGATTTATTTCCTCCTATATTCCTGAGATATGGCCCTGGATGGATGCCCAAGGTGTAACATACAAGAACTATCAAAGACTTCAGTATCAGGTAATTAAATCCTTAACAGAGGTTGGCAACCATTTTGAGGTTTATAGATAAAGGAGGGCAGGAGAAATTGCAGAAAGTTTAGCAGAAAACCACAATAGCTGTGGAATATTTCATTAGGAGATTGCAGAGCCAATGCCATAATTATTATCAGTATACGAGTATTTCTTATATGAAAGAGAGTGATAAATTTTTCTCCTACCTCTAGTGAGCGCAGAGAAGACGAAATGAGTCTTAAGCATAGTGTGAAGGATTTAGGCTAGATAATAAGAAAAGTTATTAACTACCTTAGTAGGTTCGAGAGAGTCTAAGAAATCTCCTTCTCTGAAAGTCTTTAAAAATGATAGAGATTTTCCTATCAAGGGAGGATTAAGTGTGGGCCTGCCTAATGTAGAAGAATAAACAAAATACCTTGCGAGAGTCTCAGCCAGCACTCAGGTTCTATGATTCTCTATATATTAGAGAGCACATAAAATGCATGTAAAATTGATTTTTATTTTACATTTTTCCTTTGAGAAACAAAGAAAAATAGTGACATTTTTAAGGCTCAGGTTTAATTTTCAGACGGTTGTGGAATATGTTGCTATGGGGTTGGATGGTAACATCAGAGGGAGGCACTGGGCTGTGACGAAGTTGACTTTCATCATTTTTCCAAATTATATTCTTGTTGCTTTTCCCTGAAACTTTAAAATAGGTTCATTTAGTTCAGTAAATGTCTAAGCTGGGATTTTAAGCCCCATTTGTATTTCAAGGGATTATACCAAATCTACCTGGTTTGCAGCACTGCAAGTAACTTCCGGCCCTTGCTTCTTCAAGCCTGTTCTGTTGATTATTCTTAATTGTCAGCAGCATTTCATTCAAAACTCTTTGTATTTTCTCTGGTGGTTTTCCTTTCCTGCACATTCATGCGAATGGTATATTCCTTGTAAATATAGTCTGTGGAGAACATCCCTTTCTATGCAAATTGGCAGCTCAGGGAATAGTTGGGTGCTTACAATGTCATTGAAAGTCGCACAAATCAATTGGCAAAAATTATTTTCTGTGATTATCTTGTTTTTGCAGTTACATTTTTAATTTTGACAGTTTAAGTGTGTTTAGGGTTCATGATAGTTAAAGGCCACACAGAATGTGGGGCAGGTCACTGCTGAGATTCCTACTGCTTGGCTAATAAGGTTTTCTTTGGACTTTTTGTGTCATTTAATCTCATTAACATTGAAGAGAGATACTTTAGAACAAAACAAATGAACAAATATTTATTTGGTGCCTGTGATGTGCAAGGTATATAAAGGGTAGAGTGAGGCATAAAAATTAGGAGCCCTTGCTTTCAAGATCCTCACTATCTAATTAACAAAAACTAGGTAGTAGTAAAATAAGGATACAGACCACATAGAAAAGGTACCATAAAGTGGGACTTGATTAATTGACAACAGCTTATACAGGTGAAGAGTACTCGATTTTGGAGAGAGAGCTGCAGGCTGTATTAGGATCCTTTCATTCATGACATCTGAGTTGGTCTCAAAGGTGTTGATTAAACAGAAAATGGGCCTTCCAGGATGGTGAAATAATGTGCGTAAATACTGAATAAGAGAAAGCAAAAGGTATATTTAGGAGCCAATAAATATGATTTGGTTGAAAAGGAGACTTTGAGCAGGAGAATAGTGGAAAAAGTTTGGAGACCAGTTCTCAATTAATATCAAGTGGATTCATTTTCTATTGCTGTGGAACAAAATACCACGAATTTAATAGCTGAGAACAATACCCATTTATCATCTTATAGTTCTGTAGATCAAAAATCTGGGTAGACACA